GATACGCTATCATCACACACAATTGCATAGGTATATACGTAAGGAAAACTGACCTTTAGCACTGACAGTGAATCTGTGTCAGTTAACTTAGTCACGTACAACAGCCGCCTGGCTCCCTCACGTGTTTTACACGTACACCTAACAGTGTCATTGGCTAACGTTCAAACGCGAAATGACAGATTACATAGTCGAGAACATATCCCATCGCTCTCTTTTCTTTCTTTCTCTTCACGTATTGTTACATAGCTGCACCCTGATGAACCGAACTCGGTGTAAATCTCTTCGAGTACAATCAGCTTAATTACCATACCTTAGTAGATTGTGTCCCCTCTCTCTCACTCTCTGTTAACACAGTTAATCGGGTAAGCTGCTCTTTCCAAAAAACTCTGTCGTTGTTTCCCTCTCTCAAAATATTGCAGTATTATCATTTTTTAACTATTCATAGCATAACATGCAGTCCACCCTATCCGAGTTTTATCAGCTTAATCTGCGTGTCCAATTAACTGAGTCCCTCTTTTCGTATTTTACGTGGAAATACTAGTACTAACTTACACTGTGTCCAAAGTACCGTTAAGTGTGTGCCCGACTCCAAAATGTCTCTTCCATGGCATGTCATTTTTTCTATTGGTATTTAATAAAAGCTGGGTAGCTGGCGGATTTCGCAGTATTAAAGTAAAGAGAGACAGAAAGAAACTGCTACGTCATTTTTCCGGTATCCAAGAGGTGAAGAACTTTTCAAGAATACTATTAGTCACAAGTGAAACCATACGGGAAAGATAAGAGATAAATGACTGATAACTTTAAATAAGATTGGCAATTTGTTTCAGTCTACAGTAAATCTATAGCTAGAAGAACATTCCCATATTATTAAATTACATGTACATTAATAAATGTTCTATGAAAATTATAAATATAATATTATTCGTGTTAAAATCTTGATTACAAGATTCGTCACAGCTCTTCGGACAATGAACATGCAAATACCCGGAAAGACGGCGCCACCCATCTGCATGTAACAATCCATCAGAACAATGGCCGATTTTGGGGGGACCAGAAGGAGTTTGGGCCCTAAAATACAAATATGATAAAAATATAAGACGCATTTAAAAACATCGACTTAAACTCGAAAAATATCTTCTTCTTTTTTAAATATTTACCGTAGTGGTGAGTCGAATTCCAAGATAAAAAAGAAAGATTACAGTCACGGTATAATAGGCAATCTTATTAAAACTCCTCCTTTCTTTGTTGTTCGTTTTTGGTACAGAAAACACAATGAAAGCTCTGGAGTGCAATGACACATCTTATTTTTAAATAGACCGAGTATATAATGACCTCACTAGCGTGGCAATACAATGGTATACAAAGCCCTTGACACAATAAGTTACACTGACGAACTGTTAAACAGTAGCCGAATCGAGACCACTAGTGGTAACAGAGAGTATATTCCGTGCGAGTATAAGGACAATGATCTCAATTCATAGTTCGCGAAGGATCTTCTCCTGGGGAAAAAACAGCAGGTATAAATTTAAAAAGAACACTCCATTCAGAATTACGCAGAGCGGAAGGGACACAGATTGGCAATACCCTGAAAAAACCCAGCTTGACTGTATCACAAATCTAGTGACAGGACAAACCTCAATGCTACTATAATGTATTTCGCAGGGTGAATTTAAGTACTCGAAGATGGCATTTGGTTCCCAGCTTAACAGACGTGCATTAGTTCAGCAATGAATGATCTAATACTAAACATATTGGTAACAAGGACGTCGGCAGTCTGAATGAAGTTCAGGGCGATGACAAACGGGACATGTTATAGGTATGAACGCTTTACATGATCAACATTTGCCAGCCGAGACTGCAGAAGGCCAAGGAAGTGTGGCACTTGAAACTTTTCTAAACTGCCAAGAGGAAGGCGAACGTCTCCCGGGAAGGGATGGGGGAGAGAATGAACATCAGCACTTTGTGCTTTGCTCGTGCATATCCAGAGTTCATGCAGTGTTAGAAAGCCGCCGAAATAGAGGAAAACGTAAATATCTCGTTTCTGTGGTGTTTCCGGAGAGCAAGGACCACAAGATCTACCAGCTTGCCAGACAATAATACGAGCTGATCTCTTTCTCGCTCTCGAATTGAACAATCGGAGGGCTTGATCCCGACACCGAAATGTTATGAATTGGTTTGGATGTCTTGATTATGGCACCGAGACGTCTTCAATTATTTTCAGATGTCTTCATTGCTATACCGACCTAGCAACGTTTACTATCAGATGCCTTGATAGTTATCCCTCTCCATGACATTATAGCAGCATTAAAAGAATGTTTCAAGCATATTTCATCCGACATTCGAGTCCACTCCACATCCCGAGATGACGAGCTAGTCAGTGTATACTTTGGAAAGACATAAAATGACGCAAGCACAGGAACATCAATGAAGCCTGTTATTGGGCCTTGATTAGTACTCACCTCAGCTTAAAAATACAAATAATCCGAATTTTTGATAATGCCAGTAATATTTCCTATCTTCCTGGTGAATCTCATCCTCGTTATCAAGGGGTTATGCTGACAATTGCGCTCTGAACCCCTGGAATATGTCATAGCAAAGTCGAAGGCACGCGGATAGCTATCTGATTGGTGTCAGGTAAAAACAACAACTGACCAAGCACTAGGCCGAAACTTGTCCTTTGAAGATTACAGAGGAGTGACGCCCGATTACAGAGGAGTGACGCCCGACTCCAAAGCCAGTAAGTTTTACCGTTACGCGACTACAAGATTCGTTTGATGTACACCAAGGGATTAAACTAGTTTTCTCGTCTCGCCTACAAGGTTGTGCACACAGAGCCTTCGATTTTGCTACGATACATTCCAGGGTGTAGAGCCAAAGTGAGCGTAAACCCTGGATATCGAGGATGGGTGAATCTGGGAGAGGGTATATTTCGGTTATGACATGAAAATAAAAGTCAAATCGCATTAATGTTAGAATGTTGTTTTTTTTCGAATTGAAGTATGCCCTACCTCGATAAATTGTCATGTCATGTCTCGTACAGTATTGTTCAAGTCCCGTAGTATCGCAGGTAGGGGATTCGCATGGTTTGTGATGGTATTATTCCAGGCATCGTGGCAAAAAAAGCGTTTACCTTCGCGTATGAAATTATCACATTCCATAGCACCAACGAAGATGATAATGAGCTAAACATGTTACTAATATCTCTCATCATAAATGAATAACATCTAGAGGGACAGAGAAAGTCTCGGACCTAGAATGGAGTCCTGAATATATCAACCAGCTTACTTACAGTGGACTTAGGGACAACCTGGGAATTACCACAGTCATGCATTGCCAACAAGAAGGGTCTATCTAGCAAGGAAGCAGTTCAAATGTCGCACATCACTTTGTAAGATTTTGAAGAATTTTGATGACACACTCTGTGATGGCCAGAACCAAATGAACAAGCCAAGTTAAAAGCATCTATGGAAGAAGAGGATTCCTCACTCAGGACTTCTAGGAACGTACAATACACAGATAAGCCAAATGGCAAGCTACCAAAGCAATATATCAGTACACACTGACAGTACACACCAGATACATGTGGAAAATGTATCGAGAACAATTTGCTTATACACCAAGTGGACATGGACAATATACTAGGAACACATGGACAATAAATATCCGTTATAACAGCTACACATTTGTTTGTGTTTATTATGTTAATCTTTGTTCCTTAGGAGTTAATATGGTACATCCAATACGACATGCAAGATATGAAATAGTATTTTTCTGAACTGCACAGTAAAAGCCGGAACTACATGTTTGTTCGTTTCCACTAGTAGCTGTGATCTGATGGTTTGGGTTCGAGAGTTTGATTATTCACGAGATTAAGTGCTGCTTCGCGTGTAGATGTTGAGGAAAGAGTGGGAGTGTGAGAGAGTGTCATTCTAGTCTGTTACACCTGACCCGACGGTTTGGTTTCATTCAGAAAGTATTAGTGTTAAAATGTTTTATATTGCAGTAAAATTTGGTGCGAGGGACAAACATTGTGTTTGGAAAGTTTTTGCTACTGATGTCGGGTTTTGATGACAAACTATTAACGAAATTTCATTCTTTTTATTTCTCCGGCATATTTTTGTTTTTTGACGTGTACTCCAGTTTCATTATAAAATTGTGTTTTTTCTACAGAAAGTGTAGGTAACGTTATTCAATGCAATAACGCATTTTGATAAGACGACTCTGAAGCCTACGGTACCGCCAATAGACGTGCATGTGTGTCTATATATAAATAGTTTTCGCATGCAAATGTCACACGCAGTATTTTCCAGTTCGATTATCATGCACGATATGACGGGCTCATTTTTCTTTCAGTTTTACCTTCGCACCGGTGTAGTGCTTGGAATGGCACCTCGTTCAGACGTAAAAATAAAAGATTCACAAGCAACAGCATTCCGTTTATAGTCAATAAAATTTAAATAATCCATTCGCACGCAATGGCAATTCGGATGCGAAATAATATGTTCGTGTTGTTCGTGTACATACATTGACAAATTGAAATGCTGTTTCTTTTTCACGCAATGACAATTGGTTTCCCCGGAATAATGTTCACGTGAAACACCATTTCACGCACATATATCGGAATACATCTAGCAGTGACATGCCGCTCAAATGAAACCATAATATATTTGCATTTAACAAAACATCTCCCGTTCATTAAGAGAGTGTGTTAGATACCCGATCGTTAATTTATTATTTTGAGTTGGTGCATGTTTGGATACATGCCTCTAAATATTTCATTCAAGTTTTCCGTTCAGTTAAGAAAAAGTTCAGGTAGGTTTGTAATGATCTAGCTTGTCCAGCAATTTTAACACTACTTAATATAGCTTAATAAACAATATCAGTAAACATATGCCGAGTTCAAATACAGTTAGTCACTCTTAGGTATATTACGATCTGTTTCTATGAAACATACTTGTACGAATATCACCAGTAGTAAAAAAAACTCTTGAACTACGTGGTGTGTTTTGCGATTTTTAATGTCACGTAGAAGAGACGAAACAGCACACTTTGTAAAGATTGATTTATTAAACAAACAATCTGTTTAACAAATGAAAGCGTCCATATAAATTACAAACTAAACTAGTTGTACGGGAGTTCTGGTTGTTATTCAAATCACATAAAATCCATTACAACGTGTTTATACGTCGTTATTATTCAATTCTGATGAGCTGATTTCTATGGAACTGCCATCTGCCGACAACCTCTTGACTTGCTCGCCCTTCTCCGCTAATATCTCCTCTATATTTCTGAAAAAAAATAAAAAAATAAGCAACTTCGTTCAGCGTAAGCCGCTCATCGTAGCAACATAATGACGTGGTTAGAACATTTTTCTATGCATTATCCGATTATTTAGTTGGTTTTTCCGTTTACGAACATAAAGGGGAGAGAGATCCCATTCCAGGGACGGATCTTAAGCTTTCTTTTTTTGCAATGGAAATAAGGACCAAAAACGTAACAATATATTTATAACTGTTCATTCAAGAGAAATGCAACAACATAGCTAGAAATGTTTAATTTATCATTAGTCGTGACATATCTTATATCTCGATAACTATTGAATCATATGAAGTATCATTAGGATAAACCAGTCCCCTTTTCTTTCTGAATACAACAACACTGCATCCTCGATATCCAGAGGTTACGCTCACTTTCTCTGTCTACACCCCTGGAATATGTCATAGCAAAATTGAAGGCACGCGGCTAGCTATTTGATTGGTGTCAGGTAAAACAATTCTGACCAATCAGTAGGCTGATGCTTGCTCTTTGAAGATTACAGAGGAGCGACGCCCGACTTCAAAGCCAGTAAGTTTTACCGTTACGCGACCTCGAGATTCTTTTGATTTACATCAAAGGATGAAACAAGTCTTTCCGTCTCGTCCACAATGTGTTGCACATGTATAATGACCTTTCGATTTTGCTATGACATATTACGGGCTGCAGATAGCGAAAGCGAGCGTAACCCCTGGATATCGAGGATGCAGATAGCGAAAGCGAGCGTAACCCCTGGATATCGAGGAACCGCTGGATATCGATGATGACAACACTGGGTTCTCTTTGTCATTCAGGAAAATTGACATTGATTCCAATTATACCATAGACCTTCATGTCACGGGCAACCGGTTCGGATGCGTTTCCACAGCCCTTTTCAATCTTTTTACAGCAAACATTATAATAAATAACAAAACAAAAATAAAAACTTATTAAACGTGATTAAATGATTAATTTAGAAACATACGCCACATGTAATTCCGAAAAGAAAATTAACCGCGGCGGCCTTGATATTTACATTCCGTTGTAAATTGCACTTCATTGGTATCAATTTCAACATTCATGTCATGGATTGTTTCATATAATATTAAAGTTTTACTTTTCACACAAACAATATCCGTATTAAACGTGTCGCAACGTTTCAAGACCGACTGGTCCCTTTGTCAAGCTATGACTGAGCGAGCGACTCGTCTCCGTTCATGTCCTGAGTTTTCCTGATTTTGATAGCTTCTTAAATCAGGAAAACTCAGAACATGAACAGAGACGAGAGGGACAACAGCTGAGTCATCTGTATGACCCGATACTGACATCACATAACATGGGAGGGGGCTAGATCTACACCCTAACTGTAGCCTATCTGATGCAGTGTGTATACGCTCCCTATCAATAGGCGAAACGTCTCGGGTCGAGAGACATGAAAAATATACAATTTCGTCATTTAAAGAATTGTATGTCACATCGTTGTACAGGTAAATAATACAAATCGCTCACTCAGTCATAGCGTGACAAAGGGACCAGTCGGTTTTGAAACGTTGCGACACGTTATTGTTTGTGTAAAAAGTAAAACTTTGATATAAAATATTTCCAAACTGATGAATCTTATTGAAGATTGTTTCATATCTATTTCAAAGGCTATGTCACTCCGCCAGAATTAACAAATTACCTACGTGCAAGACCATATGTGAAAGTACATACTACGTAGTAGTGTCAAAGTTCAAAGTCGGGATTACATCCATACCACGCACATATCCGTGCTCATAACGTGTTCCAACACCAGAGAGAATTTACAGTTGCACTCTTTAAAATTAAAAGTACAAGCACTTTAAACCCAATACGTATGCAGCACTAAATGGCACGACATCGTTTGAACTAGCCTTCAGTCTGTTTTGAGTCAAATGACGCGATGATACCAACAAATGTTTAGTTGTTATCACTGAAACACCAGGGCCTGTATTCATGAAACCCGTTCTCATGCTCAAGAGTGGATTATGTACTCAAACCAACGTTCTTATAACTTACTTAAATCACGGGATAGAGTCCAAAGGTCAAATTTAGATGTTGTTAACGTTATTCGGCTCTAAAATAAATATCATCACCGAAGTAAGAAATTGGGTTTGAGCACAGAACCAGAGTTCGAGCATGATAATATAAAGGTTTCATAAATACGAGTCCTGTGATAATTATCGGTTCTTTCTCCCCTACCTATACTCTTTATATTTTATGGTATGGCATGTCTGCGTAGACGCCCATCTCCTTACAATTTGCAGTTACACAAAGAACTTAGAATTGTGACGTGACCCCCACCCCCAAATTCATGATTTCACTGAGAAATGGTGTCTTGTCCGTTAATTATGTCCGACAATGATTTAGGTCTGCAAATAAGGTGGCCAGATAACTCGATTTAAACGGCATTAGCTCAACATTAACATCGGTCTGAATGCAAATCGATCGTATCCATATATATTCCACGAAACCCTATTGCCATTGTAAAAACATGTATGTAATTATAACCGACTCCCGCTCATACCCACAGGACTGGCATAAATGTTTTAAAAAAAAAAGGGGGAATTTTATTAATGATTATTATCAAATGTAAAAAGTTCACAGTCCATTTTTAAATCTACATAATATCACGAGTCCCATGTCGTTTACTAGCTCATAGAATTTTGATGAGCCTCGAAAATAATGATTCTTATATTTACGAATCTGTTATTCAAAGCCGAAGTAGCTTCCAAACGACATCGATCTAATCGCGTATTATAGCTCTAGATCTATGAACGCAATTTGTTTTATTATAGATTAGCATAGGAGTTACTATGGATGCATATCATATAACCTGCGCAAAACAGTAAATAATCTTCAGATCATTGAAGAAATACTGATAACCTAAAGAAGAAGAACCTTATACACCTTGGTCACAGACCTATGACTGGATATTTTAATGTACTTATATTGTCTACACGAAAGTGACTGAAACAGAGCATTGGTACTGACCGTTTACCGACGTCCTCAAACCAGCCGAGATTGTCAGCAATTAGATGGTGATTGTTACATCCCGAACATGTCACTATGACAACCCCTTTTTCATATGACTGTTTGGAGAACGTGTGCGCCATTCGTGTACCACACACTTTACATGTATACTTTATGTGGAGTTTCCCCTGTATTTGCCCTAAAGAGGATGTGCCTTTACTGTTGTCAACTTGCCGGCCGTTAACGTTATTGTCATCTTTCCAGTATACGCTGCTTGTCGACAACTGCCTAACTTGCAGAAATGCACACGAGTTTATGTTAAGATGTCCCACTTCCGGGAGTGTGTTCTGATGCAATTTTCCAGTCAATTTGTTGTGTCCTCTCGCAAAACCACAAGATGTTTTCACCGATTTGGATATCACACGGTGATTGTGTATTCTTAATGCACGCACACATAACTGTGTATCACTAGAATAGTTTATGTGTCGTAAACACCCGAGTAAATATCGTGACATAACTACATGTGTACCACTGTTTACAATTTACACACACGTGCTGTTTCCGGTTACTGTGCGCATGTACAACTCCAAGTGTCAAAGATGTCTGCGCCCATGGTATCACATTTCCGGAGATTGACGTATGCAAAACATCGTTATTTTCGGCTTCTGAATAGAGAAAGATGCATGTCGTTGCCAAAGCAGTTTAAAAGGCAATACGAGAACAATACAAACGAAGGTGACATGGTATTCTGTTATGTTTACATACTTATTTGTCTATTTTCATAATCTTGTTAGCCGCTGTATGTCTGAACCTTTTTCATTAGACTACTGGGGCCTGTTCGTTTATGCGGAACAACCGGTTTGACCGTTTATATATGTAACAATTTCGGGTATAAATCCTGGCGGACCTGTAAATGTTTATGCAGGCCTTGCAAGGCTTCGTCAAGGCTCGCCTGAAAGCAGTATCAGATTACTAGGTCCGACCTTATTTAATAAACGAACAACAGTGGTCCGACTGGTTTGACCGTTTACATGAAAACGGCCCGGTACTGTCGTCCAAATAAAACTGAATTGTGTCCCCTTTTTTTAGATATTTTTTATGTTGCAGAGAAACTGTATCTATCTCAATCCTATTAAAAAATAAAAAGAGCTAGTCAGATATTAAGGTCTTTTTTCGTTTGTCTCTTTTTGAAAAAAGAGACAGAATTCGATAAGTCGATTGGGCCCACTTCTCTTCCTCTGTCACATAAACGATCTGTCAGACGCAGTGTTGTCGCTTGTTCGTTTATTCGCGGATGACTGTTTGTTGTATCAGGAAATAAAAACGGCGGAAGACCATGAAATTCTACAGCGTGACCTGGACAATCTCAAGGTATGGGCTAAAAAGTGGGGAATGAGGTTCAACGCCAAGAATTGTTATACCATGAGTACCAAACAAAAATCCAACAAATTTTACACTTTAGACGACCAAATTCTACAACAAGTTTAAGAAAATCCCTCCCTTGGTTTAACAATTTCGGAAGACTTAAGTTGGACTACTCAAATTTCTAAATCGACATCAAGGGCTAGCTCTACACTCGGATTCCTCAGACGGAATCTCCAACACTGTCCGAAATCTTGCAGGAAAGTGGCATATATCGCCATGGTAAGATCGGTACTGGAATATGGATCCATCGTGTGGGATCTGTACTTAGAGAAGGATATCAACAGGATTGAAAAAAAACAAAGGAGAGGTGCGAGGTTCATCACAGGCGATTATAAAACAAGGGAGGAAGGGTGTGTGACAAAAATGTTAAAATACTTGGACCTTCCCCTATTTCAGAAGAGGAGACGAAACTCCAGATTAACTTTTTGTTACAAAGTGGTTGAGGGCTTAGTTCCATCTATAGATCCTTACAGCATATTTAAGCCCATTCGGAAAGGATGACAAATTAAACCGCGGAAATGTCAGGACTTCATTTCGGACAATATTGTAGAAACGCGAGCAACCAATGACAGCCGTGGACTAGACATTCCAAACCACAAAACGCCAACATTTAAAAACTCATACTTTATCAAAACTGCAATAGACTGGAATAGTCTAAGTGACGAGGTTGTGTGCGCGTCATCAGTAGAGAGCTTCAAGACAGCT